TGACATATTTTTTATAAATATAGTTGACATCGTTTGCTGCTGAATAATAGTATTAAATATATTACTAAACACTTATGGCATACAAAATGTGACATATTTTTTATAAATATAGTTGACATCGTTTGCTGCTGAATAATAGTATTAAATATATTATTAGATAGTTATGGAATCAAAATTTGACATATTTGTCATAAGTATAGTTGGTATCGTCTGCCATTGTAAAATGATATTAAATATATTATTAAACATTTATGGAATACTGAGAAAATAAGATCAACTTCGTTGTAGTGTTATTTTAAATTATGCCGTGTATTTATGAAATAACGTGAAATCAACGTAGTGAAATGTCAGAAAGTACTTTAGATGTCAAATTGCGTTCTCCTATTGAACAACAGATATAGCGAAATTCTTACAATTTTATTAATCTAGTTACAAAACATACGGTAATTACGTGCATGAATACATTTACCCAAGGCATTATTTCGTTTTTTTTTTAAACTTTTTTCTTAATTTTTACAAATCGTTTCAGTTGGCATCAAAATAAAATCGCTGTGTTTATTTACAGATACGAAACCACAAACATCAGTCACTTTATGATAGATACTATTCTGATGATTTATGTCAAGTATTCTAAGCATTAGGCTTAGCTATTTATAGAGTAGAGTGAAAAAAAGCGTAATAGACAAATTTGGTTTAATAGTTCAAGTATATTTCACACCATGATTATCACACCAGGCCCGGCATGGCCAGGTGGTTAAGGCACTCGACTCGCAATCTGAAGGTCGCGGGTTCGAATCCCTCTCACACCAAACATGCTCGCCCTTTCAGCCGTGGGGGCGTTATAATGTGACGGTCAATCCCACTATTCGTTGGTAAAAGAATAGCCCAAGAGTTGGCGGTGGGTGGTGATGACTAGCTGCTAAATTAGGGACGGCTAGCGCAGATAGCCCTCGTGTAGCTTTGCGCGAAATTCAAAAACAAACAATTATCACACCAAAAACGTTCTTCTGTAAGATACTTTTTGGAGGTTACGGAATTATGTATATTAGAGCACGTGTGTGAAACGCGTCCTCACCGTTACTGCTTACTATGACCTCGTGGTGATCCAGTACCATCTAAGGTTCCTGTTAAAGGTTTAGTTCCAGTTAAGTAACAGCGAAACCACTAAATACTTGTGTGTTTTTTTTTTTGTCTATTAGCTCATGACGAGGATGGAAATAGACAGAAGTGTACCCCTAGTGCTTGCATATAGAAACATCTACCCCTGTGAAAACTCGAGTATAGACTTCCTGTGACCCAGCAAACAAAACCCAGTAAATACTACAGCTATAACACCGTCTGAAACAAATGTAACACTGTGAAACTCGAGTACAGACTTCCTGTGACCCAGCAAACAAAACCCAGTAAATACTACAGCTATAACACCGTCTGAAACAAATGTAACACTGTGAAACTCGAGTATAGACTTCGTGTGACCCAGCAGACAAAACCCAGTAAATACTACAGCTATAACACCGTCTGAAACAAATGTAACACTGTGAAACTCGAGTACAGACTTCCTGTGACCCAGCAAACAAAACCCAGGAATACTACAGCTGTAACACCGTGAAAACTTGTGAAACTCGAGTATAGACTTCCTGTGACCCAGCAAACAAAACCCAGTAAATACTACAGCTATAACACCGTCTGAAACAAATGTAACACTGTGAAACTCGAGTACAGACTTCGTGTGACCCAGCAGACAAACCCCAGGAATACTACAGCTGTAACACCGTGAAAACTTGTGAAACTCGTGTGTTTCAAAGTAAACGAAATCCGGAAATAAAACAGCTGTAGTACCGTAAGTTTGGGGGGAGCATGTCCCCCGAACTTTTCAAGCATAGAATACCATTTTTCTTGATAAAATACCCTAATGCTTACCAAAGCTACAGAAACTGTCCACATCCTCCCAATTTTGAAAACACAATTACGTCACTATTGAAACCTATGCGCAATATTGCAAGGAAACAATGACTCGCCCCCAAAGAACAATTCCTAATTTCACCTAGAAGTTATAAATAAAATGGCGACGTGATCTATGAATTTCCTCAATAATTATCATCATTTTATTTTACAGTAGCGCAATGTGCCCGAAGAAAAATTCTACCTTTACTTGTTAGCTTCTATACCAATAGAATAGTCCAAATGCTTCTTTCAACGTTCATTTTCTGAAGGTGAGTCAAACCATTATTTGTATAAGAGAACCTTGAAAACAGACCAGACAAACATGACAGACTGTGAGTCAGACATACCAACAGAATCGTACTAACGTTTGACTAAGATAAGCTATAGTTGTTACTTTATTCAGACGCTGATTAATCAAACATAACGATCGCAAAATGTGGTTGAACAGAATCAATACTCTAAGCCCGATTTCTATCTAGTCTTTAAATATTACTTAACAGAGAAGTTTTATTAAAAAAACAAAACCAAAACCAAGTATTTCACGCACGGCTCATACATGCCAAAGGTCTTACTAAGTACTCATTTGCATTTAAAATAAAGCACGTGGAGTTAAAGTAGATTTTTTTTTTATCAAGAAAAGGAAATTTCATACCACCGTTAGTGCTAGCTGTGTAATCACAATTAGTAATGTAAATTATAACATACATTTATGAAACTTAACCCTCAACTTTTCGTGACAAAATAATTTGGGGAAAACTTGCAAGTTCTGTTTGTTGCTGGGCGCCACGACACACAATGGGCTATCTTTACTGTGCCCATCACGCGTATCGAAACCAGATTTTTGTCGTTAAAAAACTTCAGACTTATCACTCAGCCACTGGGGGGCTAAATTGCAAGTGGGCTAACAAAATAACAGTACAAGTTATAGCAAGTTGAAACATATCACGAGTTGACCTAAAAAAAAAGTAAAAACTAACACTTAAATATCACCACAATTTTGAAGACCCAGAACTTTGAGTTTAAATATAATTAAATATTTGCGTAAGATGTGGATTAATTTGGTTTATCTACTGGCGAGTCACTAATTTTTCAGTTGATAGTGTTTGGCTGTAGGATTTTTTCGTATATCAAGTGTTGATACATCGATTAGGGTAAACTACCTCAGCTAGGAATGTGACGATTATCAGTAGTAAAACAACAAAAAAAAGTCATTTTTGACCTTTCAGTTTTTTGTTTGATTTGAATTTCGCGCAAAGATACACGAGGGCTATCTGCGCTAGCCGTCTCTAATTTACCAGTGTAAGACTAGAGGAAAGGCAGCTATTCATCAACACCCACCGCCAACAATTGGGCTACTCTTTTACCAACAAATAGTGGGATTGACCGTCACATTATAACGCCCCCAAGGCTAAAAGGGGGAGAATGTTTGATGTGACGGGGATTCGAACCCGCGACCCTCAGATTGCGAGTTGAGCGCCCTAACCACCAGGCCCCCTTTCAGTTATTGAAATTTAAACATTACTGCCGTATTATGGATTTTTTTTGCCTGTAGTTAATATTGGTTTATTTCACAGTTAAATCTCCTGTAAATCACTGAAGCTTTTTATCAAAATAGTCGTTACTAACATTTCTAAATTTCCTCGAGTTTTTTTACCCTTGGCGACACTCGTAACGTTTTAAAATCAAAATTTTAATTGATGCCTCCTCACACGTAAAAAAAAAAGACTTATTAAAATAGGAAGAGAAACATGCCATATTTTGGAATATTTCTTTTTAATTACAAACATCGTTACCGTAAGGTAGCCTAAATTTGAATTACAAGCGTATTTAAATCTTCCTACTTGACCTTCACTAGCAACACTCGCGATGTTACATAACTCAAACACTAAGATTAGGCATAACTTTGTTTTAATATCAAATGTGAAAAAATCATTTACGAATGAACACAGTTTTTTTCTCTGATCATATTTCCAATTCACGACATCGTTTATTCGTATTCAGATAAACAAACTTTCGTGTAATGATTTTCGCTAAAAAAAAACTACAGAACATTATCCACGATTCGAAAAGAGACGTTTTTCTGTCGTTGAGTTGGCAATAGTTACAACTCAGGAGTGTAAATGTACGTTTTTTTTAAAGAAATTCCTTCCAGAAAGCAATTAATATTCAAGGCTGTATAATAATATCCTATAGCTCCAATCTCCTTGAGAAACATATTTAATTAAAAAAAGAAAGGGATATATAAAAAGAATTATGTGTTAGCCGTCTTGTAGAATCACATTCGAACGTGCCCAGCATTCTTACGTTCACGTGAGACATTTAGAAATATTATTACGTAATAAAGCACGCGTAAGTACTTCATCAAACTCTGGCGACTTAGAAGGAACCTCGGGAAGACGTAACTTTGGCAATATTTTTTCTGAAACATAGCATGCTATGTTCCTAAGTGTTACGATTAAAACCACAGTAAGTTTAAAAGCATTTATTTGTAAAGAATATCGTCTTTAATTAACAGCAAAAACTTAGTCAAAAGTTTTTTGTTCCCAAAATACACATACAACTCTGCTCCGTAAAATTTTGAGAACACAAAACACAAAGTGAGTTTTAAACATGTCTCCGAGTGATCATTTTGGATATTTAACAACTACAAAATTAGCTTTTACATTCGATTATACGAGTATTCAAAAACATAACATGCCTTACATTTACAAAAATATTTAATACCTTAATATCGTAAATGCATCAACTTAAGTAAATAACTGTTTGGAAAAAAATATATATATATCTATGTATCTATACGCACACAATCAATTCACAACTTCTGGCACCAAACTTAAATTAAAAAGTTATTTTTCATAGAACATTTCTTCAATCTTTTCTTTATTCACGCATTAGTTTATCAGCACTACTTGCTTTTTCGTTTTCCATTCGATCGCGGAAAAAACCTTGACTCGTGCTACATTCCCTAACAGTCACTGTCACCAAATTGGCCGTTACGTCAGTGATAAATATTTGGTCCACTAGGGGGTGTTGACTGTGCCAAAATTTCGGAGCAGGAGCAAGCGCCGCCTCTTGGGGCTTGTTGGCACTAAGAGCAGTAACAGCTGCCAATGGCTTGCAGTCTGGTCTAGGTTTGAAGGGTGGTGATGAGGTGTGTATTGAGTTCCTTTTGAATACTCCCTTATCAGTAGTACTTTCGGGCATTCGTATGTCACTGTGTCGGTTCTCCTGATCAGAATGATTTCCAGTTCCAACAGGAAAGTTTATCACACCAAACGTGTCACCGTTACCAGCAGGTCTCCGCTCAGGGGTGCTGTCGATATGTAAATAACGCTTCTGTATGCAACTAGGTAGTTCCTTGCCTGTCTGACTTGTGTTGGTGAAATTATAAGACAAATACTCGGACTCATCCGCAGAAGTTTTCGCGATGTTCGGTATCGTGTCTGTGGTCGTATGAGGCGCTGAATGGTTAATTTGAAAATGATTAAAAACTTCAAACTCTTTGTTTACTCCTGGGTCTTTACAAAACTTGGAAATTTTTGATACAGGTTCATATTCACAAATCTCTTCGCTAGATGTCGTTATAAAACTCCCCTCGTTTGAAGATTCCGCTTTCAGCTTTAGTTTACTTTCCACCCCAGTAGAGACCACTAATTCACTGTTGTCATGTTCTTGAAACGCCGCCCGTTCCAGGTTTTCGTCAGTACTCTAAAATGCCAAAGACCAAGTTTACATACGATACACAACTAAACAGTAAATGTGTTCCTATATATCTACTCGTAATCAATATTGAACTTCAGCTTACATAATCAACGTTACATCATTTGTACATAATGAAGCATATATTTCTGTTCGCTGTCATCTTTCTATCGTTTCGTGTAAAATAATTTAATAAGTTGAATTAATTTCACAGTAAAATATAACTACAAAAGCCAAAAATATACAAATTCATGATTAAAAACAATTATTCAGGAAATAAATTAGAATCTCAATCTTTTATTTTCGCTAAAAATCTTCAAATTAGGTTATTCTTCAGAAAAGCATAAATTAATTACAATGTTAAGAATAATAATTCAACATGCTTTAACTCGTAATAAAGATCCATCTTTTCCACAAGACCTAAAGTACGATTAATGTTTTGATTTCAATTCATTAGAAATACTGAAAAAAAAACTGGTTCTGTTCTATTTTTTAATAAAAGACTGATAAATGAACAGACAGTAAGTGAGAGATATTTAAAAAGTTTTTATAAAAATTAATTGTTAAATAAATCCCACATTCAGGACCATCTGTTAGCAATGCAAAGACAATTTTCACAGTTCTTTATACTTCTAGATTAAATAACAGTTATTAATACAATAAAATTACTCTCACAGTAAACATAAACTATAGGTATAAGTGATAAGAATTATGCAATTATAAGTGGTAGGAAGACAAACTGATTAGCGCCTTTCAGAACAATAATAATTTATAAAAAAAAATTAACACGCTGGCTAAGTATAAATATAATACAATAGTAAAAAAAAAAGGAACTTTACGAATTTAAATACCACTAATTAACGATAATAATAATAATAATGTACACATCTTAGGTTGGAATATTCAATATGGGGGTACAATAAACTCTAATGTTCGAACAATTATTTTTTCTTTGGAACTAAAATATGCGTGAAAATCAGGGATTGTCAAAAAAAAAAGGTGACCAAGGAAAGACATACTGATGTGTTATTATAATCTGATTTTCGCCTATACTGCATTAACTTCTACTTATCACAATTTTCATAATCCTTTTTTACACATAAAATAAATAAATTTATGTAGGTTCATAACTATTTGTTCATCAGGATGAAATCTATAGTCTACCTGTCTCTGTTCTTTCTTTGCCTTTTGGAACTTTCTTACAGATAGTGGATCCTTTTCTCGTTGGCTGGTAAGAAAAACGGATATTTTTACTGAAAGTGAGACCCTTATATTTCATATTATGTTACTGAGATTATTCTAAAATATTTGAATTTCACAAGCTTCAGATAAATTCAGTACAAATTACAAGTTAGAAAATGGTCTGTACATATTTAAAATGGTAAACTATATTTTCTGGAGTGATAGATTAAAAACTATAACGTTAACTCCAGAAACTTCAAATTAAAAAAACTCCAAAATAAATAATTTGCGAAGCATTGCTAGAACTAACACTAACAGCACACTGAGAAGTTGTATTTTGAAGTAGGCCTAGCGAGCTGCTGGCAGCAGGCACGAAAACGCATGCGATACGACTTCGCCAAGTTCAACAGTGGAGACAAGTTAAGCCTTACCTCTGTTCAAAGGCTTGTAGTAATCGCACGTCTAGGATGTTTACTTCAGGCTCCCAAGTATTGTACCTGGAAATAAATAAATAAAAATATTACCATAATTTCTAATCAGGCCTTTCTTTAATAACAATCATTGCCACTAGGACCTATAACAAATCGCGACAAGAACATTCATTTGAATCATAGTCATAGTTACTTACTTTGGGCTCCAGCCTTTCCATTTCACCAAATACTCAAGACGGCCCTAAAAAATGGAAAATGAGTTAAATTTTGAAATATGTTGAGTACCACTAATCATTTCTAAATACGAATATTAAAATAAAACAGAAATGTAACGATAAATGAAAATGTTTGTAAAATCACTCACTTTACGAGTTCTTTTCTTTTGAATACACTCGGCAGCAAACACTCTTTCACCGACCGTTAAAAGTTCCATTTCGTCCCGGCTTTGTACGTAACTTTACCGCAGACACAAGTTTCACCGCGTATACACGAACACCGTTACCCTACCAGTTTTCTCTTAGTTTCGCCTATCCCACTTAGAAAGCTGGCCCTTGTTTACTCAAGTAGTCTTGTCGATGATTGGTCACCAGCTCTCACGGTTTTAACTTAGCTATCCCATAATAGAAATCCCCCCCACCCGCCGCCGCTTATGGTGACGTCATGCGTTTGTGACATTAGCAACATATCATTGGTCACTCTACAGTACACACGCGTTACAAAACACAACCCACGCAATGCTACAAATGTCAATTTAGCGTCAGTTAGACGTTATGTTGGTGGTTGTTTCGAAAGTGTTTACTAGGAAAGTTAAAAGCTCCAAACATTTGATACTGTACAATGGACTAGTACAAGTGCAGTTTAAATAAGCAGCTGTTATTAAGCCTCAAGGTTCACCGTGAGAGTATAATCAAAACAATGTTAACTAATAAAAAGCAATTCGAAGAAAGAAAAAAAAATTGTTTACCGTTTTTAAAGAATTATGAAGGCCTAAAATGTCTCAATAAGATAACCGTTAGGTTATAGTTTGCAAACTGAACTCGTAGGAAAATCTGAAAAAAATAATTAATAAAAAATACAGTTCCCATTGCTTCAACATTTTCAGACTATTCAAGTTATTTTAAAAATGTTGAGTGTGTCAGAAGCGAATGTTCATGTCATTACAAGTATTGACTTTCAGAAGTTTCAAGGATTTTGTAGATTCGAATAAATAAATGATAACTATTTTAAAAGACTGAAACAGAATAAATATATGTTAAAATTCAGTTCTGGAGATTCGAGGAACTTTGTAGTTGGGAAATACTTTAATTACGTATAACCTAAGCCCCCAAAATATAATTAACAATTGTTAACTGCTGACATTTACAAAGTAGTAATGCTTGGAGACGGCTTGAATGGGTAATGAAGAAAAACTTTGACATAAGTTTAACATAACAGTTTTTCTTCATTACT